AATTTCACCACTGATGTGATCCCAAACAGTTGGGTAATCCCAAATGGCACAGCAGGTTTCAAATCTTGACAAAAACAGGGAAAAGGTCAGACTTTTTCCTCCAGAGCTTTGGAATGCTCACCCCAGCTGAAAAAAGGGACATGGTGGCTTTAAGAACTGCATGACACATCGTGACTGTTCCAAAGGCAATTAAGTATTCTAATCAGGACTAGCGGTTCCCTTAGCAATATTGGACACCATGAAAAACAGCATAATGAATAAATAAAAATTATTCGCCTGCTGCCTTAATTGAGAAAGCAATTCCAAGTGAGGTACATAAAAAGGTTAAAAAACAATAATACAATAATAAATTGTAAAGCCTGTGCACATTGGAAAAATAAAACAAGACCTAGTAACTCATACATTTTTTCCCTCTAATAATACCTGTTTGCTATGTTTTGGCAGGCAGGCCCTCAATGCCTCTGCTCAATTAGAGACTGCCATCTACATAGACATGGAAACAAGTCTTTTCAGCTGCAGCTCTCCTCTAGAATAGGATATTCAAATGGCTTCCTTCTAGTTTTGAAAAACAAAATAGTGAAAACCTGGTTATTCCATCAAGCCTTGGTGGTTGAGACTACTCTTTTAGATAATGCATTAGTTTTTTGGAGCAACTCATAAGCCCTCTAAATAAATGAAATCAATCAGTGCATGGAATGGATCACAATCTACTCTACCTGAGGGCTTGTTTAAAGAGCCAGGTTGTTGCAAAAGCATAATGGGGGTAGGGCCACATGGGCTTGGGAGGTGGGGAGAATGCTGGCCTGTGAGGCAGGTGTAGTAATAGAAAAATTTATTTCCTAATTCCCACAAAATGACATTGCTTTACAGAAGGCACCTCCAACAAATCATTTTTGCCAGATCTTACTGAATAGACAGAAGTAGCTGGGGAAGATGGTTCCATCAGTACCCAGGTCCTAATTAATTGAAATCTTTATATGGAACAATTAAATATCTTCAATATTTGAATTGTTTCCAGAAGTAACCCAATAAAAATAGTCCTCATTTAACAACATTAACAAGAAACTCCATGGATTGAGCAATATGGTGGTAAGTAAAAAAAAACACATGTGACTACACTACTTAGTGACAATAGTTCTGGCAGTCCTAGTTGCTGTTGTTAAACAAGGACCACCAGAGTTGTTAAGCAAGGACTTCAAATGACAACTTCCTGCTGATTTCCCCAT